CTCCAGTCTGGGCGACAGAGTGAGACTCCAACTCAAAAAAAAAAAAAAAATCAGTGTTCACTGTGTGCCAGGCACTGTGTTCATAACAGTCCCTTGATTGCAGAACGCCCTTCTGTGCCTTCTGTAGCTTATTTATTTATTCATGCAACAAACATATACTGAACACCTTTAATGTGCCAGGCAATGCTCTAGATGTTCTGACAGAGTGGAGGAAAAGTCAACCAGGCTCTCAGGTTCTCATGGACCTGTATTCTAGAGGGGAGGCATACAATTAACAAATGAAAAAATATACATATATATATCAGGTTACAATGTCAAGAAGGAGCCAACTTTGGGGAAATCTGGGGGAAGGACTTCCTACAAAGATAACAGGTGATTCCAAGATCCCAGGGGGTAACTTCTGTTTGCTCTAAGAACAAAAAGAAGGAATCCATGGCATTGTGCATGGAATATGCTTTCTTCTTACTCTGCAAATGAAAATCTTCTCATGTGTCTGGACCTAGCCAAGCATTGCCTCTTCAGGAATCTATCAGAAATCTATCCTGATTTCTCCTGGGAGAAGTGATCACTGTCCCCTGACTTCTGTCAACACACCTGTGATGCTTTGACATTCTTACCATAGTAAATCATCGGACTCCCTAGTGGACCTTGGTCCTGTCTAAGGGCAGGTCTTAGCTTCCTGTCTAAATCTCTAATGTCCAGCACAGAGCCTGGCACAGAGTCTGTGATCAGTGGCCTTTGTTCCAGGAATGTATGAACTCTCACTCTATCAGAACCTCATTAGTGACACTTATCCAGAATTGACAAGGATTTATTGATCAGTACCAGGCCCTGGGTTGGATGCTTTCCACCATGCCAACTCTTACAAATCTCACAGCCACCATGTGCAGTAAGTGTTTATCATCCTATTCTGTAGTTCAAACTCAGAGGATCAAAGTGTCTATCTGAGGCGGCTCAGTAATAAGAATCAGAGCTGAGATGTGAACCCAAGTTTTTTCAATGCCAAATGCCAATGCTTCATCTTCTTTGTGATGCCACCCATCATGCATTAGTTCCCTGCCAGCCCATCCTTTCTCTTCCCCTAGATAACCATTTTCCTGAGAAAAGCATTTGTTCTTGACTCTATTCTGTATTCCCTATGACAGCAGAGCAAGGCTTTGTATGTAGCACACACTCAGTATGCATGTCTTAGATCTCCAAGGGGTAGAAAAGAAAGAATGAATGTGTGAATGAATGCCACTCTCAGAGTAAACCAGCCACTGATGCCAGTTCCTGGTGATGGACTGGAGACAGAGGCGTTTCTGAGGAGAGGTGCCTTTCCAGATACCTCCAGGCATCTTTTCCAGAAGGGCCCAGGCAGCTGAGGATGATGGCTCCGTGCTAAGCACTTGTTTCTTAGAAATCACACCTTTTGCTCAGCTGCACATTTCGGCAGGCAGGCAGGGCAGAGGGGAACATGCATGGCTTCCAATGAGTTGGGAAAATGAGGTTAGGTTTCCATTCAGATAGTTATTTGTGTTTTCTGGGTCTGCACGGTCGATAAATTTTCAACGAGCAGTGATTCTGTTCCTCATCTTTCACTGCTTTATGGGACTTCAGGGAACGAAAGCATAACATCCTGCTTTCCCATAAGTTCTCTGGCTGCTACCCTGGCACCAATTAAAGACATGTCTATGCAATTAATCAAAACCAATTTGGAAGTTCTCTGGCTGCTCCTCTGGTGTGTTGCCTGCTTCACATACAGTAGTTCTTCAGCTGCAGTGACGGAGCCAGGCACATAGGAGCTTTTGATGAACTGACTGTGCTGGCCCCAAGTGTTAACTATGTCATCTGACATGACTAATGAGGCTCCGGGCTTGATCCGCGTGAGCGGAGCAGCCCTGCTGTCTGGAGGAGGCTCAGTTTCCACAGCCAGCCTGGGAAGAGGCTGCAACGTGCACGGTACACACTGCTTCATGTCAGCTGGAGTCCTGGAGGCCCCTAGTGTTGGAGCTGGGAGTCATTCACAGGGAGGCTGATGGAAACTGTGGGCCAGGCTCTGTGCTGGGACTGGGGCGAATGTGACCCAATTTACACTTCTAGTTCGGCCTCCTCACTTTAGACGTGAAAACCAGGGCCCAGCAGAAGTGTGGGGCTTGCCAAAGACTGAGCTTTGAAGAGAGAAATAAAGCAGAAGCCATGGTCTCTGCCCTCGAGGAGCTAAGCCCCTGGATGAGCAGGTAGCCATGTATGAGGGTGACAACTGGGGCCTGATGCAAGTCCACCTCATCACGGTGTACCATGGGCTTCCTTCCTTCTGCAAACCTTTATCAAGGAGAAGGCTTGCTTGTGCCCTGTCACCTCAGCAACCAGGGCATGGAATTTGTAGTCAATAGATCTGGGTGTGAGCCCCAGCCCTACTTTAAGTTGATATGATCTTGAGCAAATCACTTCATTTTCTGAGCCTTGGTTTCCTCAGTTGTAGCATTGGAACAAACCAAATACTACCCACCCAGCCTACCTCCTAGAGTCTCTGTGAGACTCAGTAGAGCTCATGGGTGCGAAAGTGTAAGTAAGAGTGTCTGCACATGTTAGCTATTATTCATATTATTACCCCCGTAAGGAGCACTGGCTGAAATCTCTGGAATATGGATCCACAGATAGCTTTAACTCTCTTCCTCTTCCTGCCTCTCTCAAAATGCACAGGAAAAAATTGGACATAAAACCAATTGGTCATCTGCCTATACTCTCAACAGCTTTCCCAGAGAGTCCTTGACACAGAAAGAGGGGGAACTCAGCCATTGTAAATTAATGACATTTCACACATTGATTAAGCACCTACCATATGCCAGACGTTGGCCACGCTGTGTGGGGAATCAGAGTTGGATAAGACTTGTTTCTTGGCCACCTTGAGAAATTCTCCATTTAGTGAGAGAAACAGACATGGACATAAATAACTATAATGTCCTACAGAAAAATACAATTGCCATAGGAAAGATACAAATCAAACACTTTAGAAGCCAGAGGAGGGAATGATTCCAAAAAGGAGACTGGGAAAAGGTTCATCAAGGAAGTGGTATGAAGGGATGGGCCAGGCTTAGCTCTGTTAGGAAGCATGAGAAAGGGAGCTCCAGGCTGAGGTGAGGGGAAAGCACAGGCAGATGTATGGAAGCTGGAGAGCAATGGTCATCGAAAGGGTCAAATATACTCAAGTGAGGTATGGAGTTCTGAGCACGAACAAAAGAAAAATCCCTGGGCCTCGGCTCAGAAACCGAGGCATGGATGTGGCTGTTTTGCTCTTCTCTTTGCTGACTGAGGCCATCTTGGCTTCTGTCCTTTAGTCAGAGAGAATCTGACACTAGCCTTTCTTCCAGCAGTCTCGAACCCAAGCCCCAGCCAGGAAAGATAACAACAAATGAACAGGGAACAGCAATTCCTTCAGATGCAAAAACTCCTGAGCTGGAAAGTGCCAGGGCACAGCCATTCCTCCCCAGCCCGGGTAAGAGCTTCACAGCAGATGTGGCAATGACACCAACACTGGAGCATGATGGCAAAGAACCTAAGCCTCTTGGCAAAGCTCACGCACTACATTTTTCTCTTTCCCCCCTTTGTCCAGAAGAAGCCAGCTTCTCTTTTATGAGTGCTGCTGTCAGGATGGGTTTGGAAGGCCTAGAGCTGCAGCTGGACACAAGGCATGGCCATGGGCCACCCCAGGGGCTCATATTTTCTCAGTCTTTCCATCTTTCATTGTGAAGTGTTTTTTATTGTGCAAATAATACAGTGTTAAAAACGGAAACTCCAAAAATAATAGGAAGAGGAGAGAGAGAGTTGTCACAAGTTATCTGTTTCAATTTCTCCCTGCCCTTCCTGGTGTTTCTGTCAGCCTAACTTCTTTTCGCTACTTTTATCCCTGATGCAACTTCAGGTTCTATTTTTCTTGCTTAGTGATGTATCATGCAGCTTTTTTCTATTTTGCTACTTACTGCCAGCCCCTGATGTCCACACACAGGCTTAGCAACGTTCTCCCAAAACTGAAGAAAGATGCCAGGGGTCATCTAAAGGGAATTTCCACAGGTAACATAATCCTCGTTGACACCTGGCATCATGTTGCAGATCCCAGGCAGGTCACTCTATCTCTGAGGCTCAGATCCTTGTCTCTAAGAAGGGGATGGGGTTAGTGCCCTCCTGGGACTGCAGTGAGCATTATGTGAGACACCAAGAGGAAAATGTTCAATACATGGCCACGCCCTCTGCTTTTTCGTCTCTTGCCTGCCTCTGACCATCTCCTCTCCCCTGGGCCCAGCAGGCCTCCTGGGTGAGCCCACTATATTCTGCCAGGTGTACCAGTCTGTGTATTTATTAGTCACTGGGTGAATGTGCCATCTTTTACTTAAGTATTTTCCTCTGACGGAAATTTTGGTTGTTTTCCAATTTTTCCCTATTTCCAATAATGATGTGATACATATCTTAACGTATGTTGCTTATCTTATCCTTTGAAAAATGTATTTCTTTAGGAACAATCCCCAGGAATAGCATCACTAGGCCGCAGAAGAGAAACATCTTAATGGCTTCTGATGTGTGTTTCCAGAAGGTTTGTACCCATTATACTGCCACCAGCTCGAGGGAGAGTATGCCTTGGACTACATTATAAGTCCCTGTGCTCCGGCTACATCTCCCATACCTGATTTATTTCCCACCATCTTCTCTCATCATGCCTCCTGAACTCTCTTGCTGCATGAGACAACTCACTGCTTCCCCCCAAGATGATGCTCCCGTGCTTTTGTACCTTTGTACTTGCTATTATTCTCCACCACCCTTGCCCGGGAATACCCTGCCCTGAAGATACCCTCTCACCCTAGAGGTCAACTTTTGTGAAACTGGAAATTTCTATTCTCTCTTCAAGATCCAGCTCAAATAATCCTTTCTCTATGAACTAGTTCCAATCCCCTAAGCAGGGTTAGTCCCTCTTGCTGTAAGTGGTACCTGGAGGGACCCTTGGCATCAGAGTGCTCATCCAGAGACAGTCATCCCCGAGCTCCTGTGGCACACCCCAATCTGTGCGATTCTCTCTTGTCTCCCCCTCCCTCACCCTCTGCACCAAGCAGTCACCAGGTTATGCCAATCCACTTCCTGAATGTTCTTGGAGCCCCTTATCTCTGTGTCATTGCCATTGCAATGACCATCCACTCTCATCAGGATGCCTTCAATGTTCTCCCCAAAAAGAAGAGTAATATGCATATGGTTCAAAGTCAAACTTGTCTCTAGAGACTTATAATTTTTAAAAATGTATATTTTTTAAAATGTAGATTTCTGTCCTACCTCTCCCCAACCCAAGCTTTGCTTCTCAGAGACTACTAGCCACTTTGAACTCTGTTAGCTGTTTTTTTTTTGGTATTTCCCTCTATATTTTCCAAACAAGACACCTCTATTGCTGTTTCCTGATTTTTTTTTTTTTTTTTTTGAGTCAGGGTCTCACTCTGTCACCAAGGCTGGAGTGCAGTGGCACGATCACCAGCCACCACAATCTTGATCTCCTGGGCTCAGGGGATCCTTCCATCTCAGCCTCCTGAGTAGCCTCTGGGACTACAGGTGTGTGCCACTACACCTGGCTCATTTAAAAGTAATTTTGGCCAGGTTCAGTGGTTCATCCTGTAATCTCAGCACTTTGGGAGGCTGAGGTGAGTAGATTGCCTGAACCTGTGGGTTTGAGACCAGTCCTGGCAACTTGGTGAGCCCTCGTCTCTACAATAAATAAAAAAACTTAGCTGGGCACAGTAGTGCATGCCTGTAGTTCTGGCTACTTGGAAGGCTGAGATGGAAGGATCGCCACAGCCCAGCGGGTCAACGCTGGGGTGGCCATGAGTGCTCCAGCCTGGGTGATGGAGTGAGACTCTGACTCAAAAAAAAAAAATTTTTTTTTGTAGAGGCAGGATCTTGCTATATTGCCTAGGACTCCTGGGCTTAAGCAATCCTCCTGCCTCGGTCTCCCGAAGTTCTGGAATTACAGGTGTGAGCCACCACATCAGGCCTGTTTCTTGATTTTTTAAGTTCAGATGTTAGCTACTGACTTTGAACAGTGGAAGTTTTTTCTAATACCGCTTTCCTCTCCCATTCTCCAATATAATTATATCACAATTTTTGGTTAAATTATTATGCAGTATTTACATATTATGACCACAAGTACCATTAAAAATATTTGCCCTCTGATATGCTAACATCCCCTCTGGGACTACAGGTGAGGTATGAACCTGTTGGGGGAGGCGGTACACTCAGGTGTACACTGATGTGCAGTAGGTGAGGCTGGCTATAAGCTGGCAGCCAGGTGGGCACTTGAACAGTCTCTGGATAGTTCCCAAGGAGGGCTCCCAAGCCATGGTATGTGGGGCAAACAAGGCTGAGGTGAGCAAGCTGGGGGAGCTAAAGGTGGTGTCCAAAAAGGACTGGAGGCTGCGGATCGGCACAGGCATTGACAGAACTGAACAGATGCTGCCTCTTGAGCAGGGTTCTGGAGTCCTTGGCCACGCTAGGGCTCTCTACTTGCTGGATCCTAGGACATTCTAGGGAGTTCTAAGATGAGGGACAGGGGCATCCAGGGCAGTGGAAACGGGGTACTCAGGGAACTTCGGTGGCTACTATTTACCAACCAGTGTAAAAATATTTCGACACTTCGTCAACCAATGCAGTCCAATGTAACTAATGTAGTCCTGTTGGCCCTGGTTGTGACTATGGAAATGTTACTCACAGTCAAGCCATGTAGGGCTCTGTGATTATATTTCTATTATTTA